CATATGTCTCCTTGATTTTTATTTGCACTTTGAGGGTCGTTAAAAATGTGGTCTTTGTTCGGGAATGAGAGGTTGACGGTAGTACTGTGTTGCTTAAAACTATATTTGATTTTAAACTTTAAACTTTACATAACCGTTAGTAAGCTCAAGTAATACGAAAATGTGGTTTATTCCAGAATGTTCGAAATCACGGCAACGGTAAAAATAAAAATACCGATATGGTTTTACTGCGTCAATTTTTAATTTTTTTTTTTTTTAAAAAAAAAGAATCATGGATTTTGAAGGAGAACCTATAAAGCTAACCATAAATTCAGAATATGCTAAAACATATGAGGTGAGAAAAAGAGGTGAAGAACTTTCAAAGCGTAAGTGAAATTTATAATTTACTATCATTGTCCTTGTAACTATTTTTAATTGTAGTTTGAACTGACCACTATAGAACTTCGGTATTCAACATGTTAAATAGTCAAAGAAAAGTATGGTGATATAAACGATGAAGATGCTGATAGTTCTTCAACTTCTGAAGAAGAGGACGAATTTGGTGAATTAGTTACTCCTGAAGTAGACGCACAAATAATGAAAACGATTGTCGCGATAAAGTCAAAAGATCCTAAAGTTTACGATTCTCAGTCAAATTTCTTTGCAGGTAGAAAAATATTTTCAATATTGGGATTAATCTTGATTTATGTTATTGGTTACATCTGAAAAATTTTTTATTCAAATAGACGAAGAGATACAAAAAGCTCATCAACAATGGTTGGATAAACAACAAAAGAAAAAGGTTAACGAAATTTTTATCCAAGTCAGAATTTGTTTTATCAAATTGGGTCCTAATTCGTTTTACTATTATTATAGTCAGAGGCAAAGCCTATGCATTTAAAAGATTATCATCGTAAAATATTATTGGAAAATGGTGGTATAATAGGTGATCAAGATAATTCTAAAGTCAATAATAAAAATATTGGGCTAACCCCTGTACAAGAAGAGCAAAAGTTAAGAGAAGAATTTAAAATTGCTGCCTCTCAATTCGATTTCCACGATGTTGATGACGATGATGACTTTTTGGTTCAACGGCCAAAAACAGCTGAAGAATTAAAAGCAGAAGAGGAAGATTATCAAAATTTCTTATTAGAAAATATGGCAGATACCAAGGATGTCGAAATTCTTAAACAATGGCAGAACTATAAGAACGATCCAAACATAAATGAGGACGAAGCCTTTTTGATGGAGTGAGTTATTTAATTCTTAAATAACAGTTCATTTGATTTTTAACTATACATATTAAACCTTTAGTTTACTTGTAGTTTTATCCTTAAACGAGGTTGGATTGATAAAGATTCTGATAAAGTTCCGTCATATGATGAACTTATTGCAGAACACCACGATGAGGAAGATGAGAAATTCGAAGAAGCCGTCGATCAATTCGAGAGCAAGTATAATTTCCGCTTTGAAGAAGAGTAAGTAATTAAAATGATATAATTTAATGTCAAAAGAGCTTGCATTTAAATTCTATATATATATTGTAGGGGAAGTACTAAGGTAGTTACATATGCTCGTAATCTTGAAGGATCGATGCGAAGGTTCGTAATTTTCATTGCTTCTAGTCTTAATAAATGCACAACATATTATACAAAATTAATCTTCTCTATCTAATAAAGAACCGATAATAAACGTAAACTTCAACGTCAAGCGCGTTCTGAAAGAAAAGAGGAGGAGAAAAAGCGTAAAATAGAAGAATTAAAGAGACTCAAAAATCTCAAGAAAAAAGAGATTTTTGAAAAATTACAGAAAATTAAAGAAATAACAGGCAATGATAGTAGGTATCATAAGAGTTAATTTTAATATTATTATTACTTTTTATTTAACAAATTTTAATATCTCATTTAGCTGTTGGTTTTGACGACGTTGACCTTGAAGAAGATTTCGATCCTGATAAATATGACAAAAAAATGAATAAAGTTTTTGATGACGATTATTATGCAGAGGTAAACTTATTATACTAATATTTATAACAGCAATCAATTTAACCAATTTGATGGTTTGTATATTTATATAATTTTTTTTTTTTTAAAAAAAAAATATATTAAGGCTGATAACGAAAAGCCAGAGTGGAGTGATAATATCAATGTAGACGATATTGTATGTAACAACAGTCAAAATATTGATTCTATAATAAATGCTTTTAAAGAATATAATGATGATCAAGAACTTGATGAAGGTGGTATTGGAGATGATGATTTTATAATGGATGCAGATTATTTACCCGGAGGAGAAAAATATGATGAAACTAAATCCAAGAAAAGTAAGCGTACTTGTGATATTTTATCTCGCTTATGATTAAATTATTATATAAAAAAAATTAAAAAATTTTATCTAGAGAGATCGGATAAAAGAAAAGAAGCGATCGAAGAAAAAAAGAAAGCCAAGAAGAAATTTGATGAATATTTGGATGAATATTATCAATTAGATTATGAAGACATAGTAAGTAGTTATTTGCTTAACAAAATAAATATTAATGATAAACTATTAAAAAATAATTTACTTTTATTTTTATTAACAGATTGGTGATACACCTGTAAGATTCAAGTATAGGCAAAATAAACCTGTTTCATTCGGTTTAACACCTGCTGAAATATTATTAGCGGATGAAAAAGATTTAAATGAATTTGTATCATTAAAAAAATTAGCACCGTAAGTTAATATCTAGAATTTATTATAATTTTTTTATTATTATTAAACTAACGAATTTATCTTCTAGATATCGGCCCGAACATGTTATAGAGAATGATTTAAAAAAATATTCTAAAAAGAAAAGATTAAGACAATTTCGTAAAAAATTAGAACTTTCGGAAGAACAAAATCCACCAGAAAATAATTCCTGGAGTATAAAATCAATTAAACGTAAAATTAATGAACAAAAAGAAAGAGGAAAAAAATCAGATGAAAAAAATAATAAAAAAGTCAAAAATGCATGATAATAATATAAAAGGAATGAATGTTTCGACGATATCATGTTGTGAACTTTATTAATTTAATTATTTTTGTGATTTAATAAATTTTCTACAAAGTATCATTTTTTATCCAGTAAACACATTATATTCTCTAGAATAGATATTTATAATTTTTTGAAGCAAGCATAATATTATGTTTATTATTATTTATTATTGCAAAATTCACATGAATTGATAAGTCGCAATTTTAGGATACGGGATATAATTAGAATGCTATTCATTCAATGAAAAAAAAAAAAAATAGACAGGCGCTGTTGCATTTTGTCTTGTAAAGGATAAGTGTGTACGGCCAGTACAATCGTGTGTATTCTTCTCGTTAACGAGAGAATACACAAGATTGTACTGGCCGTACACACACAACTAACGATGGGATATCATCACGTAGCTAAATACATTACGCGTAATGACGAATATGAATTGCCAATTAATAAATAGATCTAAAATACAAGCAGCATGAAATAATGATCAATGCAGGATGCGTTGAGAATTTATTTTATGCATCAATAAAAGCTGATCGAAAAATATCCTCCGGGTTAAAGTTAATTTGTGTGATGAGAAAGTGTTTCCTTCCAAATACCGTAAAATCTCGAATCTTTAGCACCACTAAATTTAAGCACCCCCATCACTTTTGATATGCACTTGATCTGAATCATGGTATCTCTACATCTACATCATCAATCAATCATTTGGTTCCTTCAGTTTTATTGTTTTATTTCCAAAAATTGAAAATAAACACATGCGTATTCTCCCTTCCAAATTTATAAATTGATCAACTAGTTAAAGTGTCAAGATTCCAGATGATATGTTGATTATCCATTAAAAACCATATTTTTATCAACAGGCTTTTCTAAAATTGCAATTGCAAGTACTGGAGTTATCTTGCAAAATTATCAAAATCATATTTGTTCCTTCAGTTTTGACTCATCGCTTCTACCAAATCAATATCTTCCAAACTGTTTTTGGATTTGGATTACCTACGAAATATTTTTGTTTCGTCGTTTCGCCAATGTTAAAGTTCTCTTTTTTTTTTTTTTTTGAAATATTGCAATTTAAAATGTTATCAAAAAATTTTAATTTAATATCATTTATCAAGTTAACTTAATAAACATGACCACAAAAAAAAAATTTTTTTTTTTTTTTTGCAATAATTGACGCGTATATACATGATTCTTTTAAGCTCAACCCGCAAGCTTTTAAATTGATAAATTTAAAATAATTGATTCTAAAACTTTATATTGATATGAATATTTGACTATAAAAAAAATCTTTAAAATGTATTTCATGTCATTATAAGATATTATCAACAACAAAAAATAACATATTGTTCCAGGTGAATACAGACCAATTATGTAAACTCCTGAAAAATTCTACAATTTTGCTATGATCTCCTTGTCGAAAAGTGATTGTCCAGGTGCGAAGGAATATTGATCTTCCGGAGCAAAAGAAGCGCCAATTCCTCCGACTAATTTTTTACGTTGGTCAAGAAGTGACTCAACTTCAGAAATGGATGGCGTCGGCTTCTTGTTTTTCTTTGTCTTTGTAATTTTCGACTTATCCTTGTCGAGCTAAAAAAAAAATAATAAAATAAAATAAAATAAAATAGGTTAATATTGTTTTATAATTAAATAAGATTAAAAGAGAAATGCGAGAAGTACTCACGAATCTGGCCAAATAAGCATCTTCGATTTGATTATCAAGAGTTTCCAAATATGATTGGTATTGTTGCCAACCTATTTGAGCTTTTACTCTTTCGATCAAAATCTGCTTACGATAATTGTTCCGCTTGCTTTGTTCGCGAAGCTTTGCTTGCAATTCCCGCAATTTGATGCTTATTTCATCATCTTCGCGTTCGTCCCATTGTATCTATAAATAACATTAGATTTTGTAATCATATGAAATAAATTTATAAAAGACTTTACATTAGTTAATTAGTATTACTAACGTCGTTTCCATCCATCAAGTCCAATGCTTGAAGTTCTCTCTTAAGTCGATCGTCCATTTGGGATTTATCTCGATCATGTTCAACCTCTCTTTCATGATGCCCATTCTGGCCATTTTGACCATTTACTTGTGACTCATCAAGTTGATTTAGGAAAGTTGCAGCTTCTGGATATTCAAGAAAGGCCGCTAGTAAACGATCGACTATGAAATTAGCAGATCGTTGTTTATAGTCACCATCATGGGACTTTAGAGGACCATCAATATCCATGTGATCGATTCGGCGTGGCTCTAGTTCATCAGGTGTTTGAGGAAGAAGATTACGTTCTTCTTCTGCCCAAACTTCCAAGTAGTGCTTTCCAAGTTTCGGAATTTCGTATGGCGCGATATCGTCTCCCTTTAATGTAAAAAAAAAAAATATTTATAAATATTATTAGCATTTATAAAACAAATTTAAAACTATTTACCTTTGATTCTAAAAATTGTATGTCTTCATCCTTGAAATCCCTAACATAAGGCTCGACATAGTCATAAAATGTTTTGATCGCCACTTGGTCCTTTGATTTAACAACGGGCGTATCCTCAATTGTAGCATTTGTAACTTCCGAAGTGCTACGCTTTCTCTTTTTAAAAGAACCTGTATTTCCTGACTTCTATATAAGAGATTTGAATATTAGAATATTAACATTTTGTAGAGAAATTAATAATTATTAATTACAAAATAACAACCGAGGTTTTATTTTGAACAGAACGATTTGGCGTCGAAGTTCGTGATCCTTTTACTATTCCTTCGAAGTCTGAAGAATCGCACTCATCATCACTCGGTGCGCTTCTCTTTAATATCTTTTTTTTCCTGTGAGTACCACTGTGATTTATAATTTAAACATCGGGGTAAATAAGGATCACATAATTAGGCTATTTTCACATCATACAAAATATTACTTACGAGCTGGTCTTTAAAGATTCTTTCCTTTGAGGTGGAAAATAATCATTATCTGTATGGGTTAATTATCAAAATCGAATAGTCATAAGATCACTACCTATCATATATAAGGTTTAGAACAATTTAACATATAATTATTAATAAATTTACCTGAATCTTCGACCTTTATTTTCATGCTAGCTCCTTTTTTCTTGGACCCTTTCTCTTTGGCATTTTTATGAACATTAGGACTTCCTATTCGATGGTGTACATATGGACTTCCTACTCGATGATTAGCAGGACTTGAACTTCTTTTTACAATCTTTAAACCGCCATGAATCACACTTCCACCCAAACCACTTGTACTACTTGTTGCACTACTACGTTCAATGTTCGCAGCATCTAAAATTTCTAGACATTTTTCAAAATCTTCTTTTCTGCTTATTGCGGCTTTTCCTATAGCTTTTAATTCTCTTTTGACACTCTATAAATCAGAATTATCAACTCTAGTATTAGTAGATATTCCAAAATATACATTGAAGGAGACGAAGAAGAGGAATAATTTGATACCAATTGGTCTTTATTAAATAATTTTTTTAGACCTCGTTTTTTAATTGGGCTGATAGTAGGAAATTTTTTTGGATCGATAATCATGGTCGTAGTTATATTACGAAGTTGTGGATCCGATTGTTAGGGAAAAAAAAAAAAAAAAAAAAAAAAAAAATTAAAAAAAAAAACTTGATCCAGAAATTCAATTGAAAAATATCATTAAAATATCGAAAGAAAATATCAAAGACGAACAATCTCAACTTTTGTAAGATTTTCAACCAATCATTGACGATTATTTTCCCCTGCCAAGTATGAACCTATTATATTAAAAATCGACCATATAAATGTCACATAATATGGGGTGAGACAAAAATTTTTTTAATCAGATGATCCCATATCTACTGTATTTTGTAATACGGAAAATTTGTATAAATTCTCCCAAATAATTTCATTCCCCACAAAAAAAAAAAAAAAAAAAAAGAAAAACAAAAAAAAAAAAAATCATCCGATAAATTAACGGTTTTAACCAGCTAATGAGTATATTTAACCAGTAAAATTTCCGGGCATTCCAAGAA